GAACTCGAGAATAGAGAAAAGCATGTGGGGGGGGGGGGGGATACTTTTAATAAGTCACAGATTTGCTCCCGTGAATCGCGGTGGTTCACTGATTGAAATCATGATTGTTCTCAAAGTTTGGGGCTCAAGTTTGTTCCGTTCACTTCCCTGGCGTCTTTCAGTCTGTTAAATCGCTAATTGAGGATAAAAGTGGCCTTTTCTGTGTCGCTGTTGCTGACTAGCCTCTTCATTATTCATTGATAATTAGTTGTCTTGTTTGTCACTGTAGTGACAGTGGCCTTCATCGATGCCTCCGATGTCCCTTCCCTTGTCTCCGTGTTAAATCCCATCCGACCAATACGGCTTTCTCCTTGTTCCTTATCCATCGAACCACGGGGTGCCTTGATGTCCACCCGTCACATTGTCTGCCAGGACCAGGCGCTGGGGATGTGATGGCGAAAGCCTCTAAATGCCGTGCTGACAGTAAATAGCCGCGGTAAACAAGTCATGACATCCCCTACGCTCTTGTCTGGCTCATCAGCACACAAGCTGGCACACGCCCTTGAGCCATGACAATGACCCGCCATCGATTAAACACGACGCCAAAGAATACACCTCAGGGGCAGGCGGCCTCTGCGCCGGTCACAACATTAGGTACACCTCCACATTATAATGAGATCTAATACAAGAGCCGCAGCCAATAGTTCTGTCTTCACAAGCATAATTGCTCGGTAAAGACAATGAAATGGAGTGCAAAGAAGCTAAAAAGTTTTTGCCTTTTTTTTTTTTTTTTTTTTTTTGCTTCAATTCAATAGACCTCGTGCTGCTCCTTCTGGTGTGCGTGGCTTAGCCACCGCAGGGCAGTATATTACAGACATGAATAGGGACACTCTCTCCGCTCCTCAGTAATTTTAACTGTTGCAGAGGGGAAAGATTATGCCTATTCTTACATTAATTAGTATTAGTTGACCTTTTTTGGGGGATTCAGAGACCACGTGCGGTCTTGATAAAGGAGCATCGAGGGATAAATAATCAATCACGCCTTCTATTTCGTTTCTTTCTCAGAAACATCAAAAATGTGCTCTTGTCTTTTTGACCCAGCTCATGCTGACTGTATTTTTCGGACCATGAGGCACATGTAAAATCATTTAATTTTGTCAAAAATGTACAGTACTCCTTGCAAAAAAATTAAAAAATTTGGGGAATATTTGGAAAATATGTTGTCATATGAACCATTTTCATTGTTGTACTATCTGTGATTTTTTTTTACATTTATGAAGCCAAATAGAATAATTTCCACAGCAAAAATTCAGAAATTTGACACGCACAAATATTATATGAGTCGTGCCAATGTTCATTGTTCTCACATCCCGTCTTCCTCCTTCTTTTTCGCTCTCTTTCAATCCATTTGATGATTAGTAGTTGCTTATATGTGAGCTCGAACATTTTTCCTCACTCACCAATGTTGCGGTACACCAGCACTCCACATACACATCATCGCTTCCTAATCCAGAACCCGTGGCGTCCCCCCGCCCCTGAAAACGGCCAGAGATCACTAAGGGCATCCTCCATGTCTCATATTATTCATCCCCTCCTGTACCTTTCCACCTCTCACCCACACGCATGGAGGAGGAAGTTCTCCTTCAGAAGCCGACCGTCCATCAGGAAAGCTCCTGTAATGGACGGTGAGTCGTGACAAGCCAAGCTGAGTGGCCATCTGCTCACGGTGGGGTCCGCGAGATATTTTTGTCGCTGAAGCTTGCCTGGCGAAATAAGTTGGGACTGACGCCCAATTCTGCTGATAGGAAAAATATGTGTGGAAAGGTGTTAACGGGGGTGGGGGGGAGGTGCAGCAAAAACTTTTTCTGAGGTCAGAATGAACACCAAGGATATGGGATGACTAATGTCTGTTCTGTTCGGTGCAAGATAGTCTCCCGTGCAAACGTCTTTGCGAGGATGAGCAGAGATTGTATAACAAAAATGTCACAGGAACAAAGCCGAGCAGTTAAAATGAAAAAGGAAGTGGGTTGTCTTATTTGTGTTGACTTATGCATCTAGGAAGCACGGTGTTCACACGTCCGCCTTGCTTGTTTTGACATCCAAGGCTTAAATCTCGGTTTGAGCCCTTCCTCTTTTGAGAAACCAAGTGTTCCATTTCTTTTTGAGACATTTTGTCGCCTTTTTTCAGGTGTTTCAGTGTCTGTTTAGTTACTTTGTTATGTAAGCATTTGTTTGCCATTTTATTGTTGGGGCGGGGGGGTCGTGTGCATGTTAAATTAATTTTAGTTAGTGTGTATTTAATGATCATTGTACTATATGGTTGTTTTTGCACCAAAATTGATGTTAGCACCTCACACTTTCAGTTTGAAAACAAAATTAATAAACCAAGTGGCCCTTTGACAAAACACTGCAGAGGTAGGCAACTTCAATGCTGGAGGGGGCCACAGTTTTTCATCGGCGCTACTGGGGGCCCCACATAGGCTCGCGCGCTTCCTAACTTGATGTATGACAAAATGGGCCATTTTAACCCTCTCAGGGACGGTGGTTACTACAGTGGACAGTTTATCATGTTATCAGGTTACAGGGTGCATGAAAGGGTTAAATATGGACAAGCTATGTGCATGTTTTTCTTTTTTTTTTTTTTTAACCAATGTACAGGAGAACATCTTAATATATGTTAATGCTCAAATGCATAAAAGATGCATCCCTCAATTAGAAAGTCTTAGAAGAAAACAAAAATTGCAAAAGTACTGTACACGGATATTAATAGAGAGTCACATCACGTAAACTCACCTAACCGCACGTGTCACGTCGCATCACGGGTTCACGTCAGCGGCGTAAACATCTTTGGACATGCAAGTCATTCTGCTTAAACAAATACAAAAGTGACCATGCCAAAATCTATATCCGTATGCCAGCTGTTTCAATCAAATACATTGCAGACAGACAGATGATCCGACAGATGTCACCAACAAGGTAATGGCGGGGAAAGGAGACAAACGATGTCGCCGCGTAGCTCCATCATGTAGCAGCGTGATGAAGAATGAACATTGCGAAACATCAGTGAGCCATAAGATGAACTAACCCCTTTTTTAAAAATTTGTCTGGTGTCCACGTGCAATGGGTACGGATGATGGGAGTTTAGCGAGAGAGGCGACCTCGTCTCCGGTGAAATGCGTGGCGTGTTACAGATATTGTCCTTATTTATCTGCGTTCTCCGCATCCTTTCGGTCTGCGTGATTGGAGACACGGTTGTCTTTGTGTGCTTCACTACTTCTTCATTATCGCAACCTGATTGCCATCATTACTCGGCCCCACAAGCCTAATGATCCCAGATTGAGCAACAACACTCCTTGGCCCTCAGCCTTTTTTTTTCTTTTTTTTTTTTAAAAAGAGCAAAGCAGCTATTGATGTTTTTTTTTTTTCTAATGTATTGAGGGACGGTGATGCGTGCGCTCACCCATGAATTCAAAGTAGGTCTTGCCATATAACTAATTGCTTATGTTTGATTCATAGCACCATCATATAGTTAGCGTTTGCGTCGCTTAATCCTGGATGAGGTACGTTGTTCCGTGAGGATTTATGCCGCTCCCTGGTTATTGATTGTAGCTCACAATGAATTGGGAACAGCAGAGGTTTCAGTCGGGTGTCTAAAATCTATGCAGAGATGCTCTGCTTTGAATATGTAATTCAGATGAACATTCCTAATTGTCCGATAATTGTAGAACCACAGTCTACGAAGATCTTTTCAAGGATTAATGTCGTACATTATATCAAAGCATGAAACATACTGATCCAAAACCATATCGGACATACAATGTTAGCGACAGTGGAAATTTTGTATGAAGGGCAATAATACACAAATTGCAGAACATAGCACTATGATGAAAAAAATCATTTATGTAATGTGAATTATTAATTCAATTTACCCTTTTGGATAGGAAGCATGAAAACAAGCACACACTTAGTTGCCAAGTGACAGCAAGTCAGAGCTACCCACTTCGGTATTTTAGTTCGTCTGTGTTAACAGGGATGGTTGCTATCTGTAGAAGAAGACAAAAAAAAAGAAAAGGCCTTAACTCTTGGTCGTCAGACATGAGGCTGGGCATGAATGTGGCTCGGACCTTCCTGGATTACTACAAGCTCAATAACGTCATCGCTGACCACATGCCAAGTCACCTTGAAAGGTAAATTGCTATGTCCCGATGAAGAAATGTGCAAAATGACATTTATTTTCCTTCCATCTCATGTGTATTACAATTGGACGATTCTGTGGTATTGAACAATTGTAGTTACTCATAATTTTTTTTTTTTTTTTGCCTACAGTTCTGAAGTGGCGTCTCAGTCAAACAGCAAAGCAGTAGACAAAGAGGAGAGGAGCCAGCATGCCAGGCACTAGACTAGATGGACACAAGCGGCACCATTGTACCAGGAGGAGCCCTCACTTTTAATCACTTTCACAAGATCGTCATCTGCCTTCCTCCTGACATACATGGACTAAAATGTCACAATTCACACAAGGTTATTATTATCTGCAAAATATGTTCACATGATTAGATGTAAATGTATGCTTTTAACAGCTATTTAAATGTATGTATGTTTTTGATGTTACGATAAACACTCTTTACTTTTCTTATCTGGATTACTACAAGCTCAATAACGTCATCGCTGACCACATGCCAAGTCACCTTGAAAGGTAAATTGCTATGTCCCGATGAAGAAATGTGCAAAATGACATTTATTTTCCTTCCATCTCATGTGTATTACAATTGGACGATTCTGTGGTATTGAACAATTGTAGTTACTCATAATTTTTTTTTTTTTTTGCCTACAGTTCTGAAGTGGCGTCTCAGTCAAACAGCAAAGCAGTAGACAAAGAGGAGAGGAGCCAGCATGCCAGGCACTAGACTAGATGGACACAAGCGGCACCATTGTACCAGGAGGAGCCCTCACTTTTAATCACTTTCACAAGATCGTCATCTGCCTTCCTCCTGACATACATGGACTAAAATGTCACAATTCACACAAGGTTATTATTATCTGCAAAATATGTTCACATGATTAGATGTAAATGTATGCTTTTAACAGCTATTTAAATGTATGTATGTTTTTGATGTTACGATAAACACTCTTTACTTTTCTTATTGCAATAATGCCCGCATTTGTATAAAAGGGACTTTTATGATGCAATGTTTATCAAATAATGCAAATAATGTAATATACACAGTAAAAAAGTGTTTGAATGTTTTAGGCTGTATTCGGAATTGCTCCTTATCCACGATATATTTCCCTGGATGGCACTGATTAGCGCAAAAAAATTGTGCAAAGCATCACATTTTGTAAAATACACTCATATACAATAAATTATAAATTATTTATTTGTTCAGTATTTATCACAGAAAGAGGGTGATCCAGAACAATGTAATTATGCAACAGAGTAAAAATAGTAAGTCTTTATATCTTAAACACTCTACAGTCAATGATAATTAATGTTATAAATGAATCGTAGTTTTTTTTCCAAAACTGATTTTTCATTTGACCCTCAACTATAGGCCTATTGTCCACGAGTGAACGATTCAGAGCACAGCCTAATAAAATGAAAGCTTGTGATACGCCCTTTGTAAGGAACGCAAACGTCATTTTTCAATTGTTTAAAAAATGTGTATGTCTCATACAAACGAGAACCTGAAGTCTCATGGAAGCACGGGGAGAAAATGCAACAAAATGTAGGACTGTTCAAAATCGAACCCCAAAACTCAAAATCGTGAGGCACTATTTTGTTGTTTTTTTTTTATGTTCATTGTCTTGTATTATTATGCGAAATGTATTTAAATTCATCTTTTAATGAAGAAGAAAGAAAGAAAACAGTCAATACGTGGCACTGCTTTTGTAATCCTGACGTCAGAGACTGCTTGCTCATGTGACCCCGTGACAATGTCCACTTCCGCTGTTTGGTAGCCATGACAACGGGCTTTTCCGACGGGATTTAAATGGCCACGAAGAAGCTCTCCTTCTCGAAAGTGCGCCGAAAGTCTTGGAAATGTACGGTGTTGTTGGATATTCACAAGGTAAGCGGCACATTCCCATTTTTTTATTTTGCTTTGTTGTGTAGCAAACTTAACCTGTATGAATATGTAAATGTGAGGCGCTTAGTAAAGCGTTTTGGGCATCATATAGACCAGGGTTGTCCAAACTCGGTCAACAAGGGCCGCTGTCCTGCCTGCTGATCATTTGAATCAGCTGTATTGCAACAGGGAGAGATGGAAAACAGACAGGACACCCTTGACATGAGTTGGACATGCCCGGTGTCAACGAAGCGCTATTTAAGTGCCGTCCATTGACCATTTCAAACAAATCTAACCCCTGAACGCCGATGACGTATATCTAGTTCCCTTTGCAAGTAAAATCGTATTTTAGTATAATACGAATACCGCATGTCCTCGGCAAATAACTGTTTAAGAAGAAGCAGCATTAAATGACCTCTCACTTCCTGTGTTCAAGAGTGGTGCGCATGCCCAGTGCATCAGAAACGGGATCTGTAGAAACCGGGGAGCATATATTTGATAATCCAAATATCGTAAACATCAGAAGGCCAAAGCCTATGTAGTTTCTATGCAAAAAAGGAATGTAATATTATAATCTTTTGAAGTCGTGAATTTTGTGTTTTTGTTAGTTCTAGTCTAATGTCGTAATCATTAAAAATAATTATAACAATAATTTCACTGAGAGTAAATCTAATTCAACGACTAAAATATACATCTTTATGATTCTCATTATTCGTTGTGTTTGATTGTTCTTGTATTTAATGTATAGCTGCACCATTGTGTACATGTATGAGAAAATTAGATGCTAATGCCCATTTGTATGAATGTTTAGGTCACATGTCGTGGCGTGCGGCTGCCCAAGACAGGAGACATCTACTTTAGAGTTTGCATGATGGGCGAGTACAGGAAAACTTCCTGCTTGCCGCCGCGCTTCCCCCTAAACTTTAACCAGCGGCTGGTTTTTGAGAAGGTGAGAATGATGACTGTGAATAAACAAAGTTGCTGATCCAATACTATCCTGTAGCTGATGGGAGAGGATGTCAGTCTAACCTTGTTTACCGAATTGATTCGCTTTGTCGCCACACAACGTGCTACACCAGACATACAGCGATGCTGTTGACCGTCCTGCAGTCGTTGACCTCCTAAGAGGTAAATGGCCCTCTTGAGGTTTCCCTCCTCATTTCTCGAGTTCTACATCCGGTGCTGTGCAAGCATGCAGGCTATTAGCTTCTATCTACACTGGCTGCTCCTAAATGTGTGCTTTTCTTCCTCTTAGCTGACACAACATCTTTTCAGCTGATTCAGTCGGTGTCTCCAGGTAAGCTTTTTGAGAGCATTATGTTCCCCCGTGCAAAAAGTCATGTGTTTATGTGTATGTGACTTTTTTGCATTGTCAGAGGGTGAGACCCTTGCCACGATGAAGCAAAACAGCAGAGACTTCCTGAACCCTGGGCCCAGTCTGAGCGGCGCTGAAGACCCCACGCAGAGAGATGCACTGATGATGGAGCGGTCCTCCAGATTTCATGTAGGCTGCCCTGCATCTACACTATATCTTGTCCTCTTAAAATATAAAAATATGTCTACCCAGGGCGGCACGGTGGTCGACTGGTTAGCACGTAGGCTTCAGAGTGCGGAGGTGCAGGGTTCGATTCCGACTCCGGCCTTCCTGTGTGGAGTTTGCATATTCTCCCTGTCTCTGTGTGTGTTTTCTCCGGGTACTCCGGTTTCCTCCCACTTCCTAAAAGCATGCATGTTAAGTTCAATGAAGACTCACCCATAGATTTTAATGTATTAATTTATTATAAATTCACCTTCTGTAGTTTTTTTTCAGGTTTGTGATAATATTTCTTGAATGCTGCGGAGTGCACAAAAGGCTGCGAAGCGCTTCACTTTCTGAACCAAATGTGATCGGAAAAACCGCTTACTCGATCAATTAATCGATCCGGGGTTGATTTGTTATATTTGTGGGAATCTCGATTACTCCTCTTGGACATTTGGATGAGTCCATTTTACGGACTTTATGTTTTGGGAAATTCCTTTTCTGTTTCCAGTGCGCAGAAAGCATATTCAATAAAGCTTTGCGTGCGTGAGTTTACCTGTTGAAAATCAGACACGTTTAGGATGATCCAAAGGAGTGAGGTGATCTTTGACCCCACTCATGTTCCTCTTGGAGAATGGGCTGGGTTCCCACAGACACATCGCAACGTCTTGAAGAAAGTCTTCCCCGGAGATTACAATCTGTCACAATTGCGAAAAGGAAGCTCCTCGTTTTCTCCCATTTTCACTGCCTGAAGGCGTCCCAATCCTTTTGGCCGTTTAGATCTGAATAGATCATCTTCTAATGATATGACCACCTTGAATTCTCTGTTGAATAGACTGCTCCCCCACTTTTCATTGAAAACTACCGTTTTCCCAAACTATCCTCATCACTCTCCCTAAAGACGCTCATGTTAAAATGTTTTCAAGCTGCGCTCCCTCCCGCTGTTGCCTCCATGCACGTTCGTCTTCGACTGTCTCCCTCCATGAAGCCGTATTTTTGAAACATCACTGGACCCGCGCTCCGTTCTGCAATTTGTTCCACTCAAGACAGGCCGCAGACGGAACAACTGCGGTCATAAATTGGCCTCCCAGGCTTTGTGTGTGTCTCTCTTTTGTAGTCTTCATCGTCTCCCCCTTTCTCAAGATGTCACTTGTCTTGTGTCTCCAGGGTGCGTTTCCCACTGTGGAGTTTTCAGTGACGTCGTTCATCGAGGAGAGTGATGGGATGGACGCCTCTCCTGTAAGTGTCCCGACTGCTGCTACTTAAACCAGGGAGATTGTTTACGTATACTGGTTAGCACATCTGGGGGTGAATGCTCTAATATTTATATAGTAAACATGGCTAGCAATTGTCCGGTGACCAATCCGAAGTGTATTCCACTTCTCACCTTAACGTCAGCCGGGATAGGCTCCAGCTCATCCAGTGACACGAATGGTGACATGTATCGTAAAATGGATTTTGTGAGAAGAAACATTGAGGCACAATATTCGGTCGACTTTCACAATCGAATGAGACCCAATACAAAAGCTGCAACAACAAAAAAAAAAAGCAACATTTGGAAAGACAATGCAATGTTTCGATGAGTATGCATTTGAACAATATATTATCGTGTTTATAATTTGGAACTGCACCGCAATCGACTGCTCTGTTTCTATTATTGTTGTTACGTAATCACGTTAAATTATATGAGAGACAAGAACTGTTCAGATTTTTATGAAAGGGTGATGAAATGTTCTCTTTGACGGTTTGATTCACGCCCAAGGTCAAACATTCAAGTAAAAGCAAGACTGTCCAGCAGCAGCAGCAGCAGAAAGAGGTTGTCGACGAAATAGGATAAGCCTATTTTTCTTGATTCCGTTCAATCAAGCTTTAATGAAATGGCAGCGTCAGCGTACAAACGTTCATTTGTTCGGCTTCTCTTAAAAATAGTTTTACCGTGATGAGATTTCCCTAAATAGCAATTTGGCTCCCTAAATGCTTTAGTTTTATTGTATTAGACCAGAATAAACATTTCATCTAATCTTATTTATCCCAAGATGCCATTACCGACAGGAAGGGGAAGGATGATCTTAGAGGCCATTAGAGTTGTTGCGATAGATAATTCAGTGGTTGTTGTAAAGCGGAATGTTTGAGCTCGTGTGCCGGTAACAGGAGACAACTCTGTTTCACCTTTGGTGATACTCGTAGACCATTTCCAGCAGGGAAGGACAATTGGTGGGCCTCAATTTATTTTTTGTTGGTCAAAATGTTGACTATCGTGGAGCAAGTCCCATTCTAACCAGGGTTGCTAGCATGCCGGAGTCAGTCCAAGCTGTTTTGGGCCAGCGAAACCGTGAATTGGACGCCAGCAGGGCACAATTAGACAAACAGACCGATGGACAAGTTTGAGAGTGTTCAATCAACCTACCATGCATGTTTTTTGGAATGCGGGAGGCAACCGAAGTACCCGGAGAAATCCCATGCGGAAAACATGCAAATTCCTAAAGTCCGGATTCCAGCCCACAACGTCTTCACTAAAAGGCAGATGTGCTCACCAGTCGTCCGCCCACGGTGACGATAGCATTTTGTCATGCATCTTACTGTCCTATGTGGCCCCCCAGTAGCACTTATGCAAAATTGTGGCACCCTACGTCAGTTAAGTTAGCCATCCCTGCCTTCAAGCGTTCAACTTGCTGTTGTATTTCTGTCCTCGCAGATGAGCGGCCTCGTCGGAGGGAGGCCATCTTCGACTTGGGCAAGGAAGTCGTCAAGCTACGAAGGACGGTCCGCATTCAGACGCTCCCCTTCGCCGCCCCCGTGCCGCCATATTTCCTGCGAGGCAAAAAAAAAGCCACCAAAACACGCAGTTTGTCTCGAACCGGGCTACCAGCGGCCCACTGTTGCCTCCACGACGCGGGCGCTGTCGCCTTACACCCACCGAAAAATGTGCCAGCTCTCCCTGGATGCTGAGCAAAGGCTTCGACACCTGCGGCTCGGACCGCACCACTTCAGGAAGGAGACGGAGAGCCTCCCTCCATTCCTGGTTGGTACTCGCACACTCGCCGTCACAAAATGATGTACAGCTGAGTTGAACCCTTTCAGCCACCATGGAACCTGATAACATGATAAGATGTCCACTGTAGTAGCCGCTGTCCCTGAAAGGGTTCAAAAGTGGTATGCGAATGGCACGCGAGGAGAAAAGAGGGACTGATCCTCTGATGGCACCAAGGAGCCACCAAAAATACGGCCTTCATGTTTTTGTAATCCGAAACTGAATGACCACCTCTCTGAGAATGTCAATCAAAACTCGGATTTCTTATCTTGGAAAACAAACGTTGTGCTTTTTTTCTTTTATGTTTCTATACAGCTCGTGTGTTGAATCTCATTTGAGTGTGGGGGCGCACACAGCGATGTGGCTAGTGAGCGTAGTTCTTACCTCATGGGGAGCTTACAAATGTGAACATGATTAATATAGCAGGAGGATTAAGTGGACGTCATAATAATAGGGCAGCGTTAATCTCCACACCTGAGCCGTTAATGGATTGTGACGTCGCTGACAGCGTTTCACTGAGGGATTCGAAAGAGCTGCCGAGGTTAGGAGGGTGCGGTTATTTGTGAACGTTTGATTTTGTGTGTGGGGGGGGGGGGGGGAGTAAATCACTCGGGGGGCAAGGCCAGAGATTTTCCAAAGGCCACGGAGGACATGTTGTCCCTCCTTTTCCTTGCGCTATTCCCGCCTCTTCACTTTTGACATCCACTCTTAATCCCGATGTACGAGCTGTCAAAATCCCCGAGCGCTCTCTTTTTAAAGGGAGGAATTAAGCACTGCAATGCGGTGAACGGAATTTACCCGAATAACACTGGCATTGCTCTGCTTTTGCCTGAGGGAGCCCCCCCCCCCCAACCCGCGCGGACAATTAACCCAGGTAATTGTGACTCAAATTGCAATTAGCGAATAGATACCAAATGAAGTGGCTCCAACAGGAGGCACATTTGTTTTAAGAGTAGTCCTGTTTGCTTAAAAGCCTTGTTGCTTGATTCCGACATGTCGGAGAATAAACGTGTCAATGTGATGATGATCTGTTGTGTGCTGACAGGTTCCGACGCGTAGTAGTCAGATGGATGCCTACTCGCCTCCGCCACAGAGTTACGCGCACTGCTGCCACACAGTCAGCCTCTCGGATGACGACTTGGGTAGGCGACACGAAGCAAACTTGAAACGTACAGTAAATGTTTTGGTCTTGGATTTCCATGAAAATAAATTCCATGAAAGGAACCATGAATTCATATGAAACCTCGTTTGCTCGCATGGTTCAATTTAACTTAATAACCGGTTCATTCTGACAACTTCACAAAATACGAACAAACAAGTGTGACGTAAACCAGATGACAACAATAACGTAAAAAAAAAAAAAAAAATCTGACGCTTATCCCTTGTTATGTTTCACAAAAGTGATGTCAACACGTGAAACAGATTTCTTAAGCACTGAATTTATCTCAACTCAATAAAAATAAATTCATTCATTCATTTTCCGATCGACTTATCCTCATAAGAGTCGCGGGGGGTGCTGGAGCCTATCCCAGCCGTCTTCGGGCAGGAGGCGGAGGACACCCTGAACCGGTTGCCAGCCAATCGCAGGGCACACAGAGACGAACAACCATCCATGCTCACACTCACATCTAGGGACGATTTAGAGTGTTCCATTAACTTGCCATGCATGTTTTTTAAATGTGGGAGGAAACCGGAGTACCCGGAGAAAAACCCACGCAGGCCCGGGCAGAACATGCAAACTCCACACAGGGAGGCCGAATCTGGAATTGAACCCAGTACCTCTGCACTGTGAGGTCGGCTCACTAACCACTGCACCCACCGCCCCTCGATATAAATAAATAAAATATAAATAATAAAAGAAAATAAAAAATCCTCCCAAACAAAATGATGCAGGTTTTTTGTTTTCCCCAAAATTGCAGTCTTTCCGAGGTGAAAATTATTTAAAGAAGAATGTTGCTGAATCATGATGACAGCAAAATCAATCAATCAACAAATGTCGACTTCATTGACTGAAGAAGCCGTCTTTCATTTCAACAGCTTCAACTAAGTGCGCGCTCGCAAATCAGCAAGACTTTGAAATGTTAGTCGATAGTTGTCCTTTTGAAATGTCTATTTTTTGCTTTTTTGTAAAGCCCAGCGCTTTCATTGTCTTTGCAGATTTTCTCCTTGACACTCACTACAGACCGAGAGCATCCCGAGTAAGTCTTGATTACAAAATTGCATTATATTTAAAATAACAACCCTTTTCAAAGTGCAACACCATCAACAAACAATGAGACCAATTCAAACTTCACTTCAAGACCATCCCCCCCGGGCAAAGAATTCCCCATTTTTAAATTCAGTTTTTAAATAGTTGAACTCTGCATTTCCTTCTCTCTGCATGTCTCCCTACTTCAAACGTGTGCGAAATAAATAAACCCTCAGGCGACAACCATTTTTTTTTTCACTTCAAACTCATTAAACCCGTGCAGATGCGGTCAGTTCGCGCGTGGTCGTCTCCCGGGCCGCCATTCAGACGCGATGAGCTGAGCCAAAGTCCTCATCGAGGCTCCGCTGTGTCAAAGAGGAGAGGCCCCGTGACTACCAAGCACTCCCTCAGGGAAAGGTGAAAGAACGCCTCACGCACTCACAATACTAATTTCACATGAATAAAATCGGGCTGTCGACTACAATTGTCAAAATAACAGGGTACGAAACGGGCTGACAATCTTAACGCGATCACTATTTACGACCCAAAATCTTTGTGTGGGGGGGAAAGCCGACTACTTTTGATCTGCTAGCGGTTTTGCTTGTCAACCCCCAAGTCTTTGTCGGAACCGTCATTGCTTCTTGGTGTGGCACACGAAACCCTCTCGCATCCTCACACATGATCTCACCAAAAGCAAAGAGCGGCAGAATGTCCCAGATCTGCACGATTCATCACCAATGTTTACCGAGTGTTTCCAAAGCCAAGAAAGATTTGTACTTTATTGCCGTCTGAAGACCCCACTTTTGTACTTAATACGACATCAGCTAAGACAAGCTTGTTTTTTTTAGCTATGGCCATTTCCTTGTTGCTCACCCACGACCAGTTTTGGGACAAATCCACTCGTGAGTCAGTCATGATTATTGGTAAGCAGTAAAAATGATGTTCTCAAATATAAAATTGGAACCATAGACCAGTGGTTCTTAACCTGGGTTCGAGTGAACCCTTGGGGTTCGGTAAATCGGTCTCAGGGGTTCGACGGAGCCTCTGCCATGAAGGTTAAAACACACCCAACTCAACATGTCAATGAGTTATGACACGCCCGCTTTGCCATCGCTGGCTGCAGACGATCACATGACATTGCTTGTCCAATCGGTGCTGCGGGAAATTTAGTTCGCTCAGTCGTCAACGTGTGACGGTCGTGATAGTACGTCATGCACGGTTCATTTTGTGCACAATTTAAAAACAACTTTTACTTGTTTCTTGAAATTTCATTTACCGGCTGTTATGTACTGTAAGTGTACTTTTAGCCTTTTGGGTAGTGCACTTTTCCCAGTCACAGCGCCCCCAGAAACAAGTAAATGTTCAGGCTGACAGCAAACTGGTGACCCTGAGTTGTCTTGACAGATCCGTACACTTGATCGCAGTCCCGGGTTTGGATCTTTGCTCAGGCTAACCTGTTTGCATCGTCTCCTCGTGCTTGCGTGGCTTTTATGTCGCTACTCCGGCGACCTCCCACACTGCAAAAAACATGCATGCCAAGCTTTTCACAGTCACATTAACGCCTCTGGGAATGTAAATTTGCATTCAACTTGATCACATGTACTGTTCCACGAATACATTTCGGCAACAGCCTTCGACTCAAAGAAAAACTTTTCCGCACAAAGATCCCTGTTAATTTTCTTCACATTCCTGCCCGAGCAGGCGATGGGAACTTAATCCTTCTCTTGTCACGTTTGCCATGATGAATTCCGCCCAGTGTGTCTGTGTAAAGAAATACACGTTTGTTGTTTACTCGCAGGATCTTCATAGACAAAGAGGCGCCTGCCTGTTGTTCCAATGATGGGATATAGAACAACTACTTGGCAATCCCGTGAGCTGGTGGTCGCATGTGTGTGTGGGTGTATATATATGCAGGCGATGGGAACTTAATCCTTCTCTTGTCACGTTTGCCATGATGAATTCCGCCCAGTGTGTCTGTGTAAAGAAATACACGTTTGTTGTTTACTCGCAGGATCTTCATAGACAAAGAGGCGCCTGCCTGTTGTTCCAATGATGGGATATAGAACAACTACTTGGCAATCCCGTGAGCTGGTGGTCGCATGTGTGTGTGGGTGTATATATATGTGTGTGTGTGTGTGTGTGTGTGTGTGCGCTAAATTAGAGGCGCTGATGTCCCGTCATGTTTGTTCATTACCGGGAGCCGAGGAGGGAAAACAAAGAGGAAAAGTGTATTGATTTGTGTGGCTGCCTCACTCTTGATAACTTTGACCCGACGCTGACTATAATACGTTGACAAGAGACCTTGTCATCCATCACGCCAGCTGCCAGTCAATCCCGCGGCCGACGCCCATGTTGGATTGCCGTCGTCTCCTCTCACACCGCCAGGACATCTCTGCTCCAAACTCAGCTCATAAGCAAACATTAAAATCAATAGACAATCTCACCGCCGAGTCCATTGCAGGAAATGAACAATTGTTTTGTGGCAATTGAAAACGCCACAAGAGTTGCAGTGTGTCAGATTAGAGCAGCGAGGAGAAGGTCACGGCCCACGACTTCACTCGCATTTTATTTTGTGATGACACCCAAAGCTCCGACATCTCAAGTCTGTCCTTGCTTCTCCTTTCTGACTTTCGGACTTGATTTCGACTACACATGAAATATTTCATGGCATGGTGGAGTCGTGGTTATGACACCATTCTTGAATCTGGCCTCTCTCTATCTCTTCATTGAATAATTCTTTCAGTAATTTACTGAAATTAGTCAAGTGAAAAATATTAATAAAACACACTTTTGATCCAGCATATTTTATTCATTATAGTATTTAGTTGATTGCTGCAAGATCAAAACGAGTCATAAGCCAGTGGTCCTCAATTTTTTAAGTTTTTAGTGTATCCCATCGATTAGTAATGTTGTCCTGTGTTTCGAAATGGTTTGTCTTCAAGGTTGGATGAAAAACTCGAAGGCAAATGACACCCCCTCGATTGCAAGGAAGTTGAAGGGCAGTCGGAGTTGTATTTGTGTTGATTCACGTGGGGCTGCAACGCCGCTTAGTGGACAAAAGTAAAATTGTCAGCGTGATGCGGGCTTCAAATCTACAACACTTCGTCTTCTCCCCCAAAAATATTATACATGGACGGACTTTTATTTTATTCTTTATTTAACTCCGCAGAAGTGCTTTCAACTGTATTAGTTACTTGTATTACGTCATGCGATTCAACACAATGCCTTTTCAAAGATGGGAAGCTCAGCTGAAATATATCGATCGTTTTTGTTCTGGATTTCATCAAATACGCTCTTTCCATGACTATTTTTGTTTCGGTTTTACCAAATGTTTCCAACTCAATTTGTTTCCTTTGTTTGGCCTTCCCAGCCTGCAAGCCAATGATCCCAGTCCATCCTACTGGGAGCAGATCCACAGCAGAGTCCAGAAGATTCTTCTGACACACAGAGTCCCCTTTGACATCGACTGACCTTCTGGACGCAAACGGAGTGAACTGAATAGGCATCACGTTAGCGCTGAAAGTACACGCTGACATACATTGGTGCGGTGAGTCTCACAGAAGCTATTTCCCGGTAATTTCTTTGATAGCAAGCCATGTTTCAAACACCTGCTGGGCCTTTTTGGTGTTTGCTCACCCCGCTCGACAAAGACGTCGCTGCATGGTGATACTGTATTCAAAGGTGAACAGACTTTTTTTTTTTTTTTTTGAAGTTATGTGTGAAATCATCTTGGAAAAAAAGAACCAGCGCCATTACGCTATGTGCACAAAAGATGTACGATTTTAGAGCATGAGGTAGACAAAAGGCCACAAAAGGAACATTAGTAATCCTAAAATACATCTTTATTCAAGATATTGTCAGGTCCATAAATATCGGGACGTCAACAGTATTGTTTTTAGCTTGAAAGACGATCACAAAAGATTTGTCTCGATGTCGCACTCTCTTTTTCACGTGTCTGAAGCGATGTTTGGCAGTGGCTCAGCTGCCGTGCTCAGAGTGGTAGACCAGAAGAGAAAGCGGAGGGGCGAGGGGCTTGGTAGGGACTGCACGGAGTGCACGCTGAGCACATGCTCCGTTGCGTCTGCGCAGCCACAGACAGACCACTGAATTGACTTTCCCAGTTCCAACTCGTCCAGAGGATCATAAACATGACAAAGACCAACTTGGTGAGACAGCACCTGATAAAGTTACCCAGAGAGTTGTATTTTTTCGGTGGGACTGTACTTGTAAAGTTGAGAGCCACTTCAGTCGAAGGTTTGTCATTCCTATTGGTCACCAGTAGACGGCGCCCTTACGTTTCGTAAAGACCTTGTCAACACCGTAGACGACGGGGGCGAGCCTCTTGCGAGTTTGCGATCGAATTTTGCAATGATTCTTACTGCTGTTAGCTGACATTGGAAAGCGAAATCGGGTTTATTGCTTCCCCTTGCCAGTGGCCCTCTGCTGGAGTTTGAGGCCGAAATGTTTCTGACATGTTGATCGATATACAGTGAATACTTTGAGGGGGAAAAGTTATCGGGGCACTCAGAAAGTCATCCGATGTTTCCTCCCCAATCTGAAACAAAGTTTGATTTCACCGCGATCCTTTGGGTTTTGTAGGTTCTTCAGCCCCGGCCCCGTTGGGACCAGCAGAGAGTACCCCGCAAGCATCCAGACGAGACTTGCATCTCAACTATTCCAGCGGAGTTGCCCTGATCAACAAAGCATCTTGAAACAATGAATAAAGTTGGCTTGCACGTTTTGGTAGTGTGCGTAATGGGTGTTTTATTTGCACTTTATTCACAATCGCCAAGAACAGGGGTGTCAAACGTATGGGCCGCGGCGCGGGCCGGAACCGGCCCGCAAGGAGTTTTGATCAGTCCAGCAGGATAATTTAAAAGTGAAAAAAATGCATAAAAGACACGGAATGAATATTTTTAATAAAGTGCAATTCATGGAATATCCGCTAGGGGACACACTGTTTTGATCAGAGGAAAAGACAACATTGTTTTGATCAGGGAAGAAGACAACAGCAGCCTTAGTCTGTCACTGAGACAGACCCAACACAGCAGACGCTATCAAGGACGTGAATACTTTATTCTTTACACATATTATAGCACTCTCCTTAGTTTGTAAGGTGTAGGCAGGGATTACATTTAGATTTTATATGCTCGTGTAAATGGTTTAAAAATTCCTTTCTTTATAAATCTCGTTTAATCTTAAAAGTGCATTACAATATTTTTCAAGACCAATTACTTGTTAAGGTTTTGTGCCTTTGTACAGTCAGTGGGATCAGTTGCAATGCATATACAGTCAGCCTTCGGTTTTCATCCATAATCCGTTCCAGAAGGCTGTTCGAAAACCGAATTGTTCGAAAACCGAAACCACGCTCTTCTTAAAATAAAAATGTTTATTGAACACGTCACTTCCTCATCTATCCGAGGAAGCGTCACTTCCTCGTGTAAGGAAGGCGAGAGGAGTCAAATGGTGCATTAGAGTGTACTCAGTTTGTTCGAGAACCGAAAGTTGTTCATCATCCGAGGCATAAAAAAATTCAAAATTTTTGGTCGAAAACCAAATTGGTCGAGAACCGAGACGTTCGAAAACCGAGGTTTGACTGTATGTGAATGACAAAAGTAAATTGCGCATTTGTCTATGGAAAATTTCGGTGCTTCATGAAATGTTTTGTAAAAGATATGTTCATTAAATTTCAACATTTTCCGAGTGTTCTTGTGCATCTTTAGACCAAAACAAAGGAAAGACATGTTATTTTGGTTATTTATAGCAGAGTATGGTTTAATTTTTAGTCCAGTCCACTTGATCTCTACCGTGGAGGCCCTATGTGGCCAACAATGTGAAATGAGTTTGACACCCATGCTATACGTGGTCGTTTTTTTTCGGCTAAAAACGCCTGACTATACATGGTCGTTTTTTTTCGGCTAAAAACGCCTTACTATACATGGTCGTTTTTTTCGACTAAAACGCCTGACTATACATGGCCGTTTTTTTGGGCTAAAAACGCCTTACTGTAGATTGTCGGGTGTTTTTCGGTAAAAAAACGCCTTACTATACATGGTCGTTTTTTTCGGCTAAAAACGCCTTACTATACATGGTCATTTTTTTCGGCTAAAAACGCCTGACTGTACATGGTTGTTTTTTTGGGCTATAATCGCCTTACTATACATGGTCATTTTTTGGGGCTAAAAATGGATAACTATACATGGTCGTTTTTTTGGGCTAAAAACGCCTTACTATATCGTTTTTTTTCGGCTGAAAACGCCTTACTATACATGGATGGTTTTTTTTTTCGGCTAAAAACGCCTTACTATACATGATCGTTTTTTTCGGCTAAAAACGCCTTACTATACATGGTCTTTTTTTTCGTCGAAAAACGCCTCACTACACATGGTCGTTTTTTTCGGCTAAAAACGCCTTACTATACATGGTCTTTTTTTTCGTCTAAAAACGCCTTACTATACATGGTCGTTTTTTTTTTCGGCTAAAAACGCCTTACTATACATGGTCGTTTTTTTCAGCTAAAAACGCCTGACTATAAATGGTCTTTTTTTCGGCTAAAAATGCCTTCCTATACATGTTCGTTTTTTTCGGCTGAAAACGCCTTACTATACATGGTCTTTTTTTCGGCTAAAAAACGCCTTATTATTGAAGGCGGAATTTCCACCACACTATTTGACCAATAATCAAATACCTTGGCGGGCTTCCGGGGTGCTCGTTGATTGGCTCAGGAATGATCAGATGCACACGTCTTTTGAGTCAGTCACACAGAAAAGTATTTAATCCCTAACAAATAGTCTAATACAGCATAGATCAAGCCAATTATTCTAAACAGAGCTCTGGGTCATCAACTTCTCCTAACCGCGAAGGTAGTGAGGCAGAGTGAACAAGACGCCTTTCCCTTGACCCACCTTTAATACAATTCCCCAAAAAGGTCTGTCTCTGTGTTTGTGTGTGTGTGTGTGTGTGTAGTTTTGTGTGTGTGTGTGTGTGTGTGTGTGTGTGTGTGTGTGTGTGTGTGTGTGTGTGTGGGTTGTCCTATGGTGAATCTTCCTTTGATGTGTATATGGTCTCCAACATTTGGCCGTCTTTTGCTGTTGGAAGCGGTCATCCTGTTGTGGGGCCTTTTCTCGTGCCGATTGCGATCTCCAGTCCAGGGGTCCAATCGGCCTCTCCCCTTTGCTCGTGGCACCTTGGCACCCCCTCTTCCTCAATCACACATGAATTCAAACAGTCTCTCATTTACACTCAGAAAAACATCATTATTTGCAGTCACGCATTCCGATCCTCCACCCGAGTCATTTACAACCATGAAAACAGCACTGTAACAACAGCAAGTATTTTGTGACAATACGAAAAAACGCGATACGGCAATACTAAAGTCTATACAGTACTATGAATGAAAGTCCCTTCACTCTACATGGTCATTTTTTTCGTCTAAAAACGCCTTACTATACATGGTCGTTTTTTTTCGGCTTAAAACGCCTTACTATTACTATACATGGGTGTTTTTTTTGTCGAAAAACGCCTTACTATACATGGTCGTTTCTTTACTCACTACTTTTGTTATGATGCAGCATGTTTGATTGTCGTTGGTTGAAGTTTAATTTTGTTGCTTGTTTATTGTTTGGAGCCTTTTTAATGTTCTATAAAATAAGTAAATAGCCATTTCTTTGCTTGATAATCGTTGCTATTTGCAGTCAGTAAAGTGCAATATTTAGTTCACCAAGTCATTTATCAAAATGTATGCTAAATTTGTCATAAATATTTAAAAGAAAAGCTAAAGTTAAAAGAGCCATTTGAGAGCCAAAAAGAGCCGGCTCTTTTTACTGAGCCGATCCAAATGAACCGGACCACCGAAAAGAGCCGAAAATCCCATCACTATTGGGTCGTAGGCAGGTGACATCCTGAATCGGTTGCCAGCCAATCGCAGGGCAGAGACGAACAAGCATCCGCGCTCACACTCACACCTACAGACAATTTTGAATGTTCCATGAACCCGTCAGGCATGTTTTTGGAATGTGGGAGGAAAGCGGAGTACCTGGAGAAAACCAACGCAGGCACGGGGAGGACATGCAAACTCCACACGATTCATCGGGTTCCCACTCGTCCACTTGCTTTTTATTGATGGACCTTTTGAGGCCTTTTGAGGGCTAATGTCGCCATTTTTTAAGGACTTTTTCTCCATTCAGCAGGGGATTCACGGTGGATTTAATGAACAGAAAGCCACATATCACTGCGCTGGTGTTCAAATCATTGCTGCCAAAAGAAGGGCACATCTTTATTTTTAGGGGCAACCAGCTAACCCTTTATTTGACATACTGTATGTCAAATTGGCCCGAAATGACCC